TTGTGTTTAATTATGTCGTGAGATATTTTTATTTAACTTTATATCAATATCCTTAACTTTATCTTAATATCATCTTACTTATTCATCAGCATTGCAGACTTATTAATCAGCAAAAAAAATGAATAGTTTTCTTTGTCGAATCTACTTATGTGATTCACGACTCACGTTCGATTATTAACAAATGAAATGTTATTATCTCTTATGAACTTTATTTCGAAACTGAAGACGAGGTAGATCTCAATGAAGTTCTAAGCTGATAAATCAATTTTTTGCAATACTGCGATGCGTAAACAATGACAGTTGACAATGACAATAAACAGCACAATGAAGAGAGACGAGAACAGTCAAATAGAGCAAACTTGAGCAGTGAAAAGCGCAATGAACAGTGACAATAGAGCCTAAAATAGTGATAAGCAGCACATGGAACAGTGACGCGAAAAATTACGCAAGTATTTACGTGAGCAGTTACTTGAAGTGTAGTGTTCGTGTTGGCAATTTGTTGACATCGCACAGTACTTATTACGTACGATATTGTCGTGTAGTAATTGTTACGTACCATGTCGTCGTACATTACATATTACGGGGACTTCATTCAAAGTTAGTTTTTACTGATGATTATGATTACTATGATTTTTTATTTGATTATTTGCACAAGTGTGTCTCTTAACGATTTTTTTCAACGTGTCCCTGTTTTGCCATTAACGTAATTTCCCTCGTTCATAATACTCACGACTTGAAATATTAAACATTAACAACCGACCTCAAAACTATATATGCATAATATCAGTAGAACGGTAAAGCGGAACCTCAAATTTAGAGAGTAGGATTTTAACTTACTTTTTTAAAGAATTTACTAACAATTTGACACCAAAGAAAAAGCAGATGCTTCTTTTAACGCTCCGTAATATATAGGGGCTGTTGGTGCGCGTATCCAGGATACTTATGGCGCCGCAATATATAGGGGCTGTTGGGGCGCGTATCCTGGATACTTATGGCGCCGCAATATATAGGGGCTGTTGGTGCGCGTATCCAGGATACTTATGGCGCCGCAATATATAGGGGCTGTTGGTGCGCGTATCCAGGATATTAACCATGTCGGAATACTGCCTGCACCTGAAAATGTATTCTCAGTGGCAGAATAGGAAAGACTGGGAAAAAGGATTGGGATAAAAAGTTGAAATTCGATATTTATATTGTTGATATAAATTTAATTGAAAAGTGCAAAAGGGTTTTTTCGTGCTTTGAAACAAGAAGCAATGTGATTTCTATGTTCTAGGATAGTGTGAGCTTGAACGTGTCTCATTTTAATTATCTTACATATGCTTTATTATCATAAACAGGATTGGAGACAACAGGAATGAGGGGAATCGGAATAACGGGATTCCCAAAGTGCAGGGATTGTCTAATCCGGGCCGTGCCTGGATAACCTGCTGGTAGAATAATAATTCAATTCGTCGATGCTACTCATTTATTATTCATTAACAAACTATGCGAATGTTTTAACGAGCGTACCCGAATTGTGTTCCCTGCAGTTTTTTAAACAAAAGTTGGCAGCGAAAGCAACATTCTTGTTTGGCCCGCTTTGTTTGGCGGGTATATAAGCTCTGTTTGATTTGTGTATATGCTGTGTTTGGCATGCCTATGCGGCGTTTTGCATGCCTATGCTGTGTTTGGCATGCCTATGCGGCGTTTGGCATGCCTATGCTGTGTTTGGCATGCCTATGCTGTGTTTGGCATGCCTATGCTGTATATGCTGCGTTTGGCATGCCTATGCTGCGTTTGGCATGCCTATGCTGCGTTTGTCATGCCTATGCTGCGTTTGGCATGCCTATGCTGCGTTTGGCTTGTCTATGCTGTGTTTGGCATGCCTATGCTGTGTTTGGCATGCCTATGCTGTGTTTGGCATGCCTATGCTGTGTTTGGTGCGGTTATGCTGTGTTTGCCATGCCTATGCTGTGTTTGACATGTCTATGCTGTATTTGGCATGCCTATGCTGTGTTTGGCATGCCTATGCTGTGTTTGGCATGCTTATGTTATGTTTGTCGTGCCTATGCCGTTTATAAAGGGCAATAAATACAGTGAATGTAGACGTGCTGTGTTTGCCAGATTATATGCGGTGTTTGACAGTGGTGATTGACGCGGCTCATTTAGGTTGTCATGTTTGCTGACAGTGAGTCATCCTTGTTGTGTCGCACGAGACCGTGAGTCATTTCTACACCAGAAAAAATATGCGGTGACAGAGGTTTTAATATGGCCTGTTAATGTTGGCGATTTTAATACTTCATAATGAAGATCGCGAGTATACGTATATTGCTATGAATATACAGTATGCAATCTGATCCTTTTCACTGGCAAGAATTGGAAATATTAACTTTGTCTTTTGTTATAAGTATTTTATCCATTGTTATATTTAATTCATTTTGTGCCAATTGTTTGTTAAAATTGTGTTCGCTATTACATATATAATGTTCATTATTACCGTTATAACTTAAATTGTGTATTTTATTAGATATATTTTATCATTTTTTAATTAGATTGTGTTCATCATTAGATATATAGTGGCAATTATTAGATTTATTTTGTCCACCATTCGATAGCCGCAGGTTACCCCGGCGTGGTCCAGGCTCGATAATCCCTGCAATTCAGAATCCCGGTATCCCGTTTCCCGTTATCTTTGTAGTCGCTAATCCCGTGCAATATAATACAGCTTAGGACTGCTATAACTAAAAAATGCTCATTCAAATGCACTAAAATACTCAAAACTATTCGAACTATTCAAACTAAAATACTCAAAATACTCAAAGCAAGTATTTTGCATTTAATTCATAGAAGCTAAGTTTAAAAACAAGTTTCAATCCTTGGTTTATCATTTACTCTCTTTCACCCAATCCTTAATTTCCTCCCTTTGTTTCAATTCTTTCCTCCTTTATTAGCTCCAATCATTTCTTTTTTCTGATCCTATCATCCCGTTTCTCCTATCCTTTCTTTCCTTTTCTCATTGTTTCCTCCCTTTCCTTTCATTCTTTCCTCTTTTTTCTCACAAATCATTCTCTATTTTCTCGCTAAAAATAGATTTTCAGGGGCAGGCAATATCCGAATACAATGAGCATACTGAATATGCGCCCCAACAGCCCCTTCAAACACACAAACTCTGACAAATATTTACAAGATTTCTTGGTCTATGGTCAGAAAAATTGTTTCGCATGACGGTGGTTGTTTCTGATTCCAATTTACGTAAGTTGAATTTTTGGATGAGCTGGAGAATCAATCATAATGTTCATGATTAGCTCTGTATTGTGTATTTCATGTGTACAATACATTTGCATTGTACACATGAAATGGTAAAGTACCATTTTTCTCAGCGATTGGGTAAAGTGTGAATAACTGTTATTGAATGAATGGCAATTCGAATGCAGCAAGTTATCAGGTATTTATGATGGAACAAATGCTAATTTGTTCATCACAAAGTTTCCAGGCGATTGCGAGGGTACATTGAGTACCAAAACGAGCCTTGCCATGGCTTGGGATAGTGTTACGAAAATTTTTGCATTCTTCCGTGATGTTTTTAACGATGAACTTAGCAGCAGCGGAAAAACGAAATGCAATGAAACCGTCCCCGACAAAACGAAAAAACGACGCGAATTGAAAAAAAGTAAACCGATACTGAAACGCTCAATCTCAGCTCCAGATGGAGGTGACACGAGACCGTTTCTCGAAGAACACGAACGATTTTCGAACAAGCAAAATATGCCGAGTTTCGAAACTCAAAGAATATCGTCCGTCGTGGGCATCCGATCTGTTCCATGCAGTCCACTTTTGGCAGTAAGACGTAGAAATGATGTCGTGGACTTGCGTCTCCAGTCCAGCAGCTCCCAAGAAAGTCTCAAGTCGAAGTCCCAAGAGGTAGGAAATTTCAAGTCGAAATCGCAAAAAGAATCATGGACAAGAAGCCACAGCGAACAGCTCGATCAAGCTTTCCCTTTTGGTAGTCAGAACTTGTCGCGTCTCATTCAGTCAGCCAGGAAGCGTCAAGAACTTGAGGCAGTTCGGGAAAACTTAACTCAAATCGAAAATAAGAGGATTGGGTCTAAGGTAAGCAAAATTGTGGCATGGCCATTGAAATTTCAAGGCGATGAAAAATCAAAAAGCTTTCAGTTATTCTCAGATGAATCTGACCACGTATCTCCTGAGGATGAGAATGAGAGACCACAAGATATTTACGATGTGAAAGAATTTGGTTACCGAACTAGCGATACCACCGACGACAATGAAGTTATTTACGATGAAGTGGAATTTTCTGGGAATGAAGAATTGACTTATTCAGAACTTAACTCAGGGTGTCAATCAATGCAAGACATTAGAACCTCCAACTATGAGTCATTGAGTAAAACTGGAAGCAAAAATCCAACTAATGAAGTCCAGACGATTTCAAAAACTAATTATCTAAAAGATAAGAAGCATGGAGATAAAATATGTGTTTCACGTTTAGAAAGTTCTGACATGTCGGATAAGTTGCATTATCAAACGAGATATTCCAATTTTCAATCTGAAGTCTCATGTATCGATCTAGAAAAAAATTATGAAGACTTCGTGGTAGCGAATAACAAAGTTTCTGAAAAAATGAAGGACGATAACACATCTGTTGAGCTAAACCAAAATGACGACCCTGGTGCAAATTCCACTGTCGCAGAATGGGGTTCAGAAATCATTGATCAAGGAAAACCAATTAATGAACCTGGAAATGAAGATCATATTTATTTTGCCGGCATTAAAAACTTGGACTGCATTGAAGATAAAATGAATAATTCGGATGAAAGTGCAAATAAAAATGAAATCGTGTTACGACCTATTGCAGATAGTAAAAATACCACTGATTTGTGTGAACTATATCCTTCAGAAACAAGTGTTGAAATAAAATTTAAAGCCATTCCCTCAATGTATACAAAATCAAACGAAGTTCAACTTTCAAACGAAATTCTAAACATTCTCGAAAAAATAGATATTCAAATGAATGAAGAAACGAATCCTTGTTGTGGTGGCGACAAATCTGAAGTTTATTCTACTTCGGCCACGACACTACACGAGGGCGCAAAAACTTGCAAGGAAACTGCCGCTGAACCTCAAATGAGAGATTCAAATGGACATAAAAACATGCATAACAACAACATGAAATCAGCCCTAACGAGCAGCGTCATCTTGAAGCCAAGATTCAGAGACATGAATCAGCCAGAGGTTGCGTCAGCGCTGATGCTAGCATCGTCAGAGCGTCACGGTGAGACGTGCAAGGCATCTGTCAGAGACGATAGCCAACAAGACACAAGAGAAAAATATGCCCAAAAATATCCACAGGCTGAAAAAGAAGCTCGGGCAGAGAAAAAAACAAACTTTTCTCATGAGCCACGCGAGTATGATTCATCCGGAGAAAATAATCGGATTGAGCCTGATGGTGAAAACTCTAAACAACATCAAAAGTTTATCAATACACGGCAACAACATATTAATAACCAGGTTTTCGATCTAAGTTTCTACAAAAAGTTTGTTAATGAATCTAAAGCGAACGTCTCCGGAAAATGTGATCGAAATGATGTTGAATCAGAACAAAAGGTAAATATGGATACTGCATCTAGAGATTGTGTTAACAAATTTAATAATGCAACCGAAACTTGCATAATTAAGTTTCCAAATGAAGCCCCATATAATACAATTAAAATGGTCCAGAAAAGAATTATGCCACCCGAGAGCGCTAAAATGGTAACCAAAGATGTTTATCCATCGCAAATAATATCAAATAAACCGAAAAAGATTATTAAAAGAATCATTAAGAAAATAAAAATGGGTAGCTCTAACAGAGAAGCCGAATCATTTAAAAATGTAAAAAACATTTCGTCAGGCTCAGTGGGAAATGATGATATCATCAAACTGAACATCACTGATGCATCGCTTGAAAAAAATAACAATTCCTATGTAAGTATGTTTTCCACGAGCTTGGGGTATGTGAAAAATATCTGTGAACACGACTCAAAGTCATGTGATGGAAGTTCAGCTTTACCGGAGCCATTGCAACACAAATTTGAAGGGTTGCATGGAGATAAAACGAATGTAAGAAATTTGAAAAATTTCGAAAATTCGGAGGAAAAGGCCGTAGATGTTCGAGCTAATGTCTACAAACAGAAGGTGGATACAACGCTCAAAATATAGTGCATTTTTTATTACTTCGCTTGGCTATGGACTTTTCAAAAATAGAAATCAATAATCATAGAGAGCATTCGAAGAACTAAGGTTATAGAATAAGGAAATGTTATAATCTGCGTTCACAATTCAAAATATAGAATTTAGATTCTTTTTCATTTAAATTATCGTACTATTTGATCATAGTTCCATATTTTTGAAATCACCGTCTTTATTGTGCTATCACCTTTGCATTGACGTAGTTCTATTAATGCATTAACCCTTATCATTTCTACGTGGCGTTTAACCATTTTATTGATTTATGCATGTTTCGCAAGTATGCTTCTTGGTTTCTATTTATTTTGCTTAAGTAGCTCGTGTTTTACAAGGCTTTCCTTCTGCATGTTTTGTGTAATATTCTTATTTCTATTTTATTTGATAGAAATTATGATATTATCTAATTATTTTGCACGTTGCTAAATATGATAACTGATAATTATGTATTATGTATTTATTTGCATATTACTCAACGCATCTAGTCCCTACAGTAATTTTTTATTTTCTTATTTACCAACGAAACAGGATGAACATCAACAGGAAAATTGTACAGTGAGTTCTAAACCTGATCAAAATTTTTGGACAGACCGAGTTTTGAAATTAACAGAAAAAACGGTGACCAAGTACCACGGAGAACCCAATTCCAGCGGAATGGCGACGACGGAATTCATTATCCCTCCTCAACGCAAAGTCATTTGGCCTCGGCGAATTGAACCGACGGGGCTTAAGGCCATTCCTCCCTGGGCCGAACGGGACGCTCAGCCTCCCCCACCTCCGGTAAACCACTACACCTCCTCATCCACACCTCCCCGTCGGCGCCTCATACCTTGCACTAATGATGACCAGTTGAGTAAGCAGGCAGGAATGTCCAAGTCAGAGACTCAAATAAACAACCTAAATACAACGCGTTCTGATGTAGCTTCTTCTTCAGGAAGAGTGAATGATTTTATGTGCATTGAGTCGCGTAACTCCTGTGCATTGGCTTCGCCTTCTGCGAGAACTGCCGCTACAACAACAAGTGACGCTACAGCAGCAAGTGCCACTACAGAAACTAGTGCCACAACTCGTCGCCAAGTGGATGTCAATCCACTTAACGAAAGAGCCACCTGCGGGAGTGAAACTCTAAAATTAGAGGCACAAATTACAGCTGGTGGTGCAGGGGAAGCTTGGCCAGCAGCCAAGTCTTCAGGTGGCAGTTCTTATTGTGGGGACAGCACCACAGGTGGCAGTCAGTCGTCCACTTCTGCTCTGCGGGACCAGGCAGCGAGGAAGAAAAGCGACGTGATTTTGCAGGCTGAAATGGTCACAGTGAAGTCGGGTAACGCCAGCACCAATACATCGAGTGATAAAATGGGTGAAGGTCTCATAGGAGGGGCAGCTTCTTCCAAGTGGGTTGCTGGAAAAAGAATTTCTGGCGGCGGTGGGACTGTCGGTGTGATCCGGCAAGATGATTCGTGGAGAAAGGAAGGATCAGTTAAGGCTGCTCAGATGCCTCCATCACCGCGCTTGGACAACCGAAAACAAAAGAAAGAACTTGCTAGCTCTAAGCCGGTAGTGCAACAACCAACAATTGCCGAGCAGGACGGCGAGCTTCCCGAGGCTCCTTGGAGAAAATCTCCCAAGCACGCAAGAAAGACGGTACCTGTCCAAGCCACGGACGCCGTCCCTATCGTGCCTGAAAATCTACCTGACACTTCAAATGTTAATCCGAAATGCAGTTCAAGTGCAGACACTATAATCCAAGGAAGTGAACATTTCCAGATTTCAGAGTCAGAGACCACAACAGTGGAAAGTACTTTGGTCTCATCCCTAGAACAACGTGCAGTAACCGAATTTACTTCAGCGTCTGAGCTATCATCTAGTATGACCTCAAAAAATATCTCTAATCAAATCCCTCCTAATCCAGCAAACCTTCCACCCCATGCTCCGATACAGCATAAGAAAATATCAGGTTCCCCAAGAGGCTCTCCTAAAAACAGTCCAATTTTACCCCGTCGAGGTGCTCAAACCACACCACCACCGACTCCCCCTGCGTCCTCAAAACCATCTGGGTTGTCAGAATCTCCGCCTTTGATGATCTCCGTAGGCGCAGATGAAGCTCTTAGTGTTGGCAGCCACCCCATGGTCGGTTCTGAGTCACTCGAAGCAGTATGCAGTCAGGGGTCGACGAGTTCTGACAGCCTTGCTACTTTAGACCAAAGTCGTCCAATTGTTTTGCGCAACACTGTGGTGCCTCTTCCTGAAACTCCTTTGGAAACACGGAGTGAAATCGCAGAACAACCTTTAGCCTCGTTGCCTGAGTCTCTGAACGATAAATTTATGAATAACGATACGATTGCCTGCACCGACACCTCAAACGAAAAAAGAGATGCTGTTGAAAACGTAGCTGATACGGAAGCTGATCAGTTAACTACACTAGCTTTTCATCCTCAGTTATCTAATCTACCTCCGCCCCCTCCGCCACCGATAGGTTCTGTTGAGGAAGACGAATCTCTGTTTACTTCTTTCCCAGCTCCTCCTCCTCCTCCTCACCCTGCCTTTCTGACTGAAAACCCAAAAATTCCTAAAGCTATTTTGCCAGAAACTGAAGACTACGTGCCTTTGCCCGTAACTTCTCGAATCAAGTGCTTTGAATCTCAAAGTTCGTTTGAGCAAGAGATGCAGGAGGAGAGGCCTTACCAAGAAATCAAGCCAGTGGGACCCTGGGTCAAAAAAACCTCAGCTGGGCCTGTATCCAAACCCGAAGGATGGCAGTTGTCCCCAGAAGCTGAAAACCAATCCTGGCCTCCACCGCAGCAAGAAGTTAAACTAAAACCAGAATTCTACTACGAAATGGCCTCGACAACTCCAGCGCTGCAACCACCCTCTGAATTCGACTCATCGTTGCCGCCTGCTCCAAAACCACACGTGTACCAACCTCACCATTACCAATCACCTGCTCAGCTGCAGCAAATCAAAGAGCAACAAAGATCACCACAATTGAAGAGGGCATCTAAGCAGCAACCATCACCTCAACCTCAGAGGAAGCTGCAGCAACAACCTCCTAAACTGAAGCCGTTGCCCGAAACATCTCTCCTCCAGCAGATCCATCAGAAGAAGTTCTCGGAAGACGGAGGGTCTTCTCGAGACGGCACTCAAGATTATCAGGTAGCTCTTGTCTCGTAGCTTGGCTGCCATTGCGTATTAGCGCGTGCATACTGTGCCCCGGCCCTATACGTTCAGCGTTTCCATGAAGCTGAATTTACTTATATGTGTTCGCTTTACTTGTATTGCATTTCGCTTGTATTATTTACTGATGGTTCTTGAAGTTGAAAGAATATTTAGTGTAGCACAAAACCATTTCATACGCTGCAACCCGAATTGTTAAACACTTCGATCTTATCGCTTAAATTCCTGGCATTGCTATTTATTGGAGCTCCTTTAAAAATCCCTTTATATTTATAATTGTCTACTATACATAAATATCCAGTGTGCCTTTAAAAATCTTATTTGATTATGGGTATTATTATGTGAAGCATTTTTAAGTCAATGGATTGATGTATTTGTTCGCATTGCTAATTTTTATGTCATATCCACGGTGCAACGTAGGTTAGATTTAAAGCATCTATGTTTGCTCATTCTCCCTCAAGTTCTGGTTGCGTGCGATTTTTCATTCGTCAAAAATTTCTAAATTCTGTAAATGATTCCAGAGATTAAATTGAATTTCTTCAAATATTCTACGAATTTTACTACAAATACTAGACAAAAAGAAGAAATAATAGTATGGAAAAAGCAGAAAAAATGCTTTTAACCAATAATTTGTTGCAATAAACTCCAAGAAATTACTGATTTACTGAGTGAAAATAATCGTTTTCATAATTATTACGATGTCGTGGAATTAGAATATATGGAATACATGTATATTGAATTTAGTATATGGAATAATATAGGATTTATCGTAGCATTATTTACCATCCTCTATTTTATTTTATTATTTTTTCTTGTACGAATTCGAAGCATGCAATGCACGGCATACAAAGAAGATAGTCTCAAACTAACGACTGTAGAAGTAGTTAGTTAGTTTTCCGTATAATTATATAATACTAATTTCCTGTTTAAATGAATTAAAACATTTTAATATTGATCCTTACGGGCTTTGTGTTATAGAAAAATAAATTTTAAAGCCAACTCGATGACGTACATATTTTTATAATTGGGACAGTGAATTTATTTATTTTGCTTAAAAATATATTTAATCCAAATATTTATTCTGTACATAAGCCATAATTAAATCAGAAGAGCTGAATCTTAACTTTTAAGTTCAATGTATAAAAAACTGTATTCAATTCGTCAAACTATTTCCGTGTATAGAATTTAGGCATTAAACATGACATGTTCAGGTTCATTTTCTTTCAATAAGTGTCGTGAAAGTCATGCTAATTTCGTTAAAAATTTATGTGTTTTTGATATCAGATTAAAATCAATCGAAATATTCCTACTCATCATATGGCAAACATTATTTGCGAAAATTTATTATTAACCACATAATTTCCTCGTTATTGATCAGTCAGAAAACAGCAAAGCATTTAATCGCTTTCAGTTATCATGAAGTATCCAAGTCTTAATTTAACAATGTTTTGAACATTGCATTGACACATTTCATAAGATATGCATTATAATATATCTTATTAATATATCAAAAATAAGCATTGACACATTTCATAAGATATGCATTAGAATATCAATTTTTAAGGAAATAAGATATTAAACGTATCAAAGCTCTAGAATATTCGATAAAACAATGAAGTATTGAAAACATTACATTGAACAATTTGAAACATTAGACTCACGTAAATGAGAAATTGGCATCTTCATTTCATTAAATTTTGTGTGATTTAATTTAATCAATTTAGGAATCAATCTTATTGCATTTTTGTCCATTTTAGGGCAGCTCCCCTTTAAATTTGTGTGGTTTAATTGTAAATTTAAATATCAATTGCACATTTTTTTCGCTCGTCGCAGGGCGGCCACCAATTAACTTTGATTGGCTTAACTTTAAATTTATATATCAATTGTTTCTTTTAATTTTGTCCTCCATGGGGCAGTCCTTCGTTAATTTCTGTGATTTAATTTAAAATGTAGATATAAGATATACATGTAAATATCGCATCTTTTTTACCGGTTTTAGGGCGGCCCTCGACCCAGGGCCCGCACAGGCAGCACCTCCGAGCAAATCAACCTTCACTACAGCCAAGCCCAACTCATCGAGGGCGGTGAGTCATTAATGAAGTATACTCATTAATGTAATGAAGTATACTCATAATCATTATTATAATAACTCACTATTACTATAATTCATATTGTTCATCACTATTATTATACTCATGTTTTTCATTATTATTGCTCATATTGCTCATTACTAATATAATTGATTCACTACAGCCAAGCCCAACTCATCGAGGGTGGTGAGTCATTAGTCATTTACTCATTATTATTATAACTCACTATTACTATAACTCATATTGTTCATTATTATTACTCATAATACTCACTATTATTATTACTCATATTGTTCATTAGCAATATTTATTATATAATATTTATTATAGAATAATATATATTGAAGCCAACTCCACATTTATTAACGATGTTATCTTAATCTTAAATCATAATATATGTTATTAGAATTATTAATAATAATAATAATGATAATAATAATAAATATTAAAATAATAATAATAAATTTAATTAATTAAATTAATTTTTCTGGTTTTAGGGGCTGCATCCCTCCTCCCCGACGGAGGCTTGACCCCCGACGATAGCGAAGAACCCCTGTTCGACCCATGGTGTGACCCCAAGAACCCCAGGGTCATCCAATTCCAGGTGAGGTGATGATGGCAATGCATGATGGTGAGGTATGATGACGGAGTGCGATGATGACAAAATATCATGAGTAAAAATTGTGTTTATTGAAAAAAAGTAACTAACAATAAGGATTATAAAATGAGAGTGTGGCATAGTGTCATAACGATGAACTGGAATGACGATAACGTAATATTTTGATAAAATATATTATTATGACAAGTAAATCTGTGTTTAATAAATCTATCATTAGTGACTTCATAATGACTAAATCGGTCAAGATTAAGTCTGTGGTGGATAAATCAGTCGGCAATTAATCTGTGATGAGTATATCTGCGCTGAATAAATCTGTTATGAGTAAATCTGTAATGAATAAAATAGTTATGAATTAACCTGTGATGAGTAAAACAGTTATGAATTGACCTGTGATGAGTAAAATAGTTATGAATTAATCTGTGATATATCTGCGCTGAATAAAACTGTTATGAGTAAATCTGTAATAAATAAATCTGTGATGAGTAAAATAGTTATGAATTAACCTGTGATGAATAAAACAGTTATGAATTAACCTGTGATGAGTAAAACAGTTATGAATTAATCTGTAATGAGTATATCTCTACTGAATAAATCTGTTATGAGTAAATCTGTAATGAGAAAATCTGTTTTCTCAGGACGTATCGGCGGCGGCCTTCAAGATCAAGTCTGGCATCATGAACACTCCGTGCACTCGCAGCAATATGTCCGCCACGACCGGCGTCGAGATATTCTTTAAGAAGGAATTCAACCAACACACAGGCAGCTTCAAGGTGTGTACGTGGAAAATTCATTGTATTAATCCTGTATTTTACGTGTGAAGTAAAGCCAACACACTGATGGCTTCAAGGTGTGTAGGCGGGAAATACATTGTATTAGTCGCTTATATGTGGTATGAAATTCAACAATCATGAACTTCAATTGATAATCAATATTAAAATATGGTTTTTATACATTTCATTGAATAAATTGTAAGTTTAAGCAATCGTTAAAAGCTTGCTAATCGCCGCTGTCATGAAAAAAAATATATTTTCTGCTTCTAAGATACTTATCATTTACACAGAGTCAGCATTCACACAGGTCAATATTCAACGTTCGCATAGGTCAATATTCAGCATTCACACAGGTCAATATTCAACGTTCGCATAGGTCAATATTCAGCATTCACACAGGTCAATATTCAACTTTCGTATAGGTCAATATTCAGCATTCACACAGGTCAATATTCAACTTTCGTATAGGTCAATATTCAGCATTCACACAGGTCAATATTCAACTTTCGTATAGGTCAATATTCAGCATTCACACAGGTCAATATTCAACTTTCGTATAGGTCAATATTCAGCATTCACACAGGTCAATATTCAACTTTCGTATAGGTCAATATTCAGCATTCACACAGGTCAATATTCAACTTTCGTATAGGTCAATATTCAGCATTCACACAGGTCAATATTCAACTTTCGTATAGGTCAATATTCAGCATTCACACAGGTCAATATTCAACTTTCGTATAGGTCAATATTCAGCATTCACACAGGTCAATATTCAACTTTCGTATAGGTCAATATTCAGCATTCACACAGGTCAATATTCAACGTTCGCATAGGTCAATATTCAGCATTCACACAGGTCAATAT